TTTTTTTTTTTTTTTTTTTGGTACCGGGAATTGAACTCAGGACCTTGTGTTTGCCAGGCAAGCTCGGTGCCACTGAGCTACATCTCTGGCCCTTGACTTATGATTTTTAAACAAATGGAACTTGTAGGTGAAATATAAATGTACCATGGGCTGAAACATTTAGCAGAGTATTTTATCACTTTACTTTAAATTTATTTATCTGTTTTGTGGTGCTAGGGCTGGAACCCAAGGTTTCACATGCACTCCACACAGGTGTCCTGCTGAGCTGCATCCCCAGTCCAGTGTCAGTACCGCCTCTGTCATCAGATCAGCCGCCTCCGGAAGCCATGAGAAATTACAGTGCTCTGGTACCTGGAGAGAGGTGAATGCAGAGGCATATCCGCAATTTTTATCTCCAGTGGGCTTTTCCTCAAGATGACTTTATGATTTTCCCCATGGCAAAGCCTCTCTCTGTGATTCAGAAACAGAGACTCTTCTAATGGGCCGGTATGGATCCCAGATACTTCTGCTTTCTAAGAAAAAACAAAGCAAAACAAAAACCCCTGCTTAATGCCACATGACATCAAACATCCTTGTTAGATTAAGATGGAAGTGTCAGCCAGCCATGGTGGCACACGCCTATAATTGCAGCACTTGGAAGGCTGAGGTAGGGTGCCTGTGAGTTCCAGGCCAGCCTGGGCGACATAGGCAGTCTGAGGGCTACATGGTGAGACCCTGCCTTAAAAAAGGCATTTCCTGATAGTTTTCCTAACTATGTGAGGGACATTAAGATAAAGTAGCTTTCTGTGTTCAGTGTTACAACCATGGGGTATCATGTAGATTGCAGTTATAAAGGTGACAGATAAATGTGGAGTTAGATTATTGAATGTTAGGTCCCGGTTTATGTGAGCTTGTACAATTCACTTACCCCTCCCCCACACAATTCAGTTTTTCAACTATAAAATGGAAATATTGAAGGATTCTTTGAGTATTGAACAAAACATAAGAATACATTTTGGAGGTGTAGCTCAGTGGCAAAGCAGTTGCCTAGCATGAGACAGGCCCTGGGTTCAATCAATAGCACTGCAAAAGGAAAGAGGGCCAGGGATTTAGCTCAGTGGTTTCGCCACCTGCTGCACAAGCGCAAGGACCCAAGTTCGTTCCCCGGTACCAAAAAAAGAAAAAAGAAACAAAAAAGTCCACTGGCGAATGAGAGATCTTTTGCCAATTTCAGGCATTAAACTGATATAGCTATAATGCCACTCTTACAACTCTTGCTGAATAAGCAGCAGCTATTTGAGGTTACTGACTTAGTGTTCCTCTCCTTCTGATGCTTCAGTACTGCTGAGCAGCATTCTGGCCTTGCTGGGGGGTGTGGCCCATTTCTGGTACACTATATTATTGTATTGTGGTTAAATATGGATTTTAAAAATCACCTCTTACTCCCAGCTATGCCTCTCCTTGGTATCTCCCCAAAAGAATTAAAAACATCATACCACAGCAATATATGCACACCCATGTTGATAGCAGCACAGTTTGTAATAGCTAAAGCTTGGAAACAGCCCAAATGCCCATCAACTGATGAGTGGATAAAGATGTGGTTTTTTTATACAATGGAGTACTACTCTGCCATAAAGAAGGAGCTTCAGACATTTATAGCTAAATGGATGGACCTTGAGACCATACTCTTAAGTGAAATAAATCGAACACGTATGTTTTCCTCCGTTGTTTCTCTGGTGTGAGAAACTGAATGTGGAAACCCAAGGACTGAGATGTGTAATGGATGTTGGGAAACAGGAAGAAACTGTTAAAACAGGAAGGGGAACAAGGGAGGAATATATGAGCATTTATTCACTGTGGGCACTTGCACTTCATTCTTTAATTTTCATAGTAATCTCATAAGGAACAATGTTCTCTACACCAGTTACTAATGATATTTTTTAAACTGTTGAAAACACTTTATTTTTAAATTTTATGTACGATGCACATATGTATTTTGCTGTCCTGGAGAATGAACCCAGGGTATTCACACTGAGACACATCCCAGCCCTTTTTTTATTCTGAGACAAGGTCTTGCTAAGTCACTAAGTTCCCCAGGCTGAGCTCAAACTTGCAATCTTCCTGCCTCAGCCTCTCAGGCATGTGCCACCATGCCCTGTTGTAAGGAACACTTTAAATTGCAAAAGTAAAATAGCTTTGAAAAATTATGCTGAATTAAGGTTCTTAAGAACAAGCCCAAGCTGAGGATGTAGCTCAGTGGTAGCGCTTGCTGAGCACTTGCAAGGCCCTGGGTTTGATCCCCGGCACCAGAGAAGAAGAAGAAAAAAGGACAAAAATAAACAGTATGTTGGGTGTGGCGGCAATGCCTGTAACCACAGCATTTGGGAGGCTAAGGCAGGAGGATCACTGAATTCGAGCCCAGCCTGGGCTATACAGTGAGTTCAAGCCCAGCCTAGACTATATAGAGACCCTGTCTCAAAAAAAAACACAGGGCCAGGGATTTAGTTCAATGGTTCCAGCACGTGGAAGGTTCCGAGTTCCAGTACTAAAAAAAAAAAACCCAAAAACCCAAAAACAAACCAAACCACCCACCCACCCACACACACACACCAACCTAAGGTGAATGCAGCTTCATGTGTCTTATAACATTGTATGTTTTTGGGGGGTTTTTTTGAGGCACTGAGGATTGAACCCAGGGCCTGTACAGTAAACTACAACTCCAGTCCTTCCTATTTTTTATTTTGTAACTGGGTCTAAGTTGTGAGGGGCCAGGCTGGACTTGAACTTGTAATCCTCCTACCCAGAGTGCTAGGATTACAAGCAAATACTACCATGCTAGGTTCATATGTACATTTCATAGGAAAACAATTGTAGCTGGGTATGTGGTGTATGCACTCAGGAGGCTGAGGCAGGAGGATTGTTGCCAGTTCGAGGCCAGCCTGGGCTACATAGGGAGGCCCTGTCTCAAAAAAACCAAAGAACAAAAAAACCCAAACAACTATAAGAGGACAATTGAGCCATATTTTGTAATATATCTTACATAAATATTTGTATTTTGCAGTATCTGTCTTGGCAAAATACATTCTTATTTGATATTAGCTTGTTTACATAATTGAAATGTACAAGTCACTTAAGAAAAACATTTTTTTCTGGGAGTCCTAACTTGAAATTTCCTCTGAGTTGATTATTACCATATATTTTATTCTCCTTTGAAGGAACAACTTACCATATCACAAGTAAACGGTTATTCTGAACTTGGAAAATATTTTAAAGGAACTAATACTAATCAAGAGCACTGAATGGAAAGTACGCTGTCTGAAAATCTAGCTCAGCTGTCCCCATGGCCCTCTACTTGAATATGCAGCATGTCACTGTGACTTTAATATTAATGGCACCTACTTCTGCTGAGCTTCTTAACACAGAAGTTAGCGTGATATGAAGGTTCTATAATCCTTCAGTGTATCTAAAGTTTGCATTTGTGTTATTTGGATACATTAACATTGCTTGCAAGTTTATATGAAAGTGCAGTTTTGGGGTCTACTCTTAAGACTGTATTAAATGGTATAGGTTTTTAAATTATGGATTTTTATGAGAAAATACCTTTAGGTTCACATTCCTGAATTTCATGTTTTCTTTCCAAGGCATAACATAACGTTGTGGGATCATCTTGTGGCTTAGTGAAAACTGTGGCAAATGAATCTCTTCACACCTGATGATTAGGAAAGAAAGGGCTTGTGAGTTGACAGTTGTTCTAGCGTTATTCCAAGGAAGGGAGGCAACTGCGTGTCCACGATGTTTGGACCCAGAGCTGTGACACTGTGGCCCCATCCATCACCCCCTTCACACCCCACTGAGTACCGAGATGCAGCCAGTGCTGGGTATCTGCACCTCCAACTGCATGGAGTTTGCACACAGGGTCAGGAGGCACCCATTTCAAGGAGAGGCAGTGCGTCATCCTTGTACAAAGGAATCTCTGGCCAGGCACGAACAGGTGGTGCTGACCTGCCTTCTCAATGTATACAGCTCCACACTCGGTCAGACTTGCTTTCTCGGCACACACACTACCTTTTCCTTGGAAATATGAAGCTTCCTGTATATGCCAGGGAGCAGATACTTGCTCTACACAGTTCCCAGCCTGAGAAACAAATCAACAAACGGCCCCTGCCCTGGAGCCCTTTCGGTCCTCACTCATTGGCAGGCTTATAGGGATTCTCAGCAGAGCAGTTGCTGGCCAGTTTAGGGAAGGGAGGACAAGTGTTTTTTTCCGAAGCCATCACTGCCAGCTGTGACAGAATTCACATCCAGAACCCAAGTCACTGTTCTGATGAAACCACTGCTCTGATGTAACAATGTCTCCCAACTTCATAGCAACGTTTAGCAGTTATGGTAGCAGTTAAAAGTGTGCTCAGAGCTATTTTCAGTATGTTTTTAATACCCTTTCTTGACAAAAACATTTATTGTAAGCAATTAAAAATGAGAATGCTTGGGCCAGGGATTTCACTCAGTGGTGCCACCACCTGCCTCGCAAGCGCAAGGTCCTGAGTTCAATCCCTGGTACCAAAAACAAATTAAAAAAAACAAAAATGAGAATGCTTGCACACTCCAAACTTGCCACATACCAGAAAAAACAGACTGAATATTCAAAATAAGCCACTTCATATTAACATTCTCTGCCTTTGGCTAATTTTCTTGTCTCTCTCTATATGGTATAGAAACACTTTATATACTGCTCATCATTTATTTTATCACCTACTAGATACACATAGTATATCAAATTTGCTTAAATCCAAACCAATTTGATATATTTTTTATTCTATTGCAGAATATTTTAATGATAAAACTATTTTTATTTTTTGTGGTTCTGAGCATTGAACTTAGGCCACTTGCACAGTTACATCCCACTCCTTTGTTTTCTGAGACAGAGTCTCACTATGTCACTAAATTGCTCAGGCTAGGCTCAAATTTGATATCCTCCTGCCTCAGCCTTCCAAGGAACTGGGCTTACTTACTTATAAGATATATGTCACCATAGCTGATAAGAGTAAACTTAAAACATGAAAAATTTAAAGAACCTTAAAAATGTAAGCATGACTTCTATACAACAGGATATGATACAAGCCAGGTATCTGCATGGTTTCAAACCTTTAAAAAGTAATTATTGGGCCAGGGATTTAGCTCAGTGGTTTCAGTGCCTGCCTCGCAAGCACAAGGTCATGAGTTCAATACCCAGTACCAAAAAAAAAAGTAATTACTGACAAAAATGAAATTGAAGGTACTCAAAAAGGCAATCTTTTTTTTCCCTTGTTGTAGTGTTAGGGATTGAACCCAGGGAGTACTGAGTTATACACTCAACCTGGTTTTATTATCAGACAAGGTCTAAATTGCTCAGGCTATCCCTCAAACTTGCAATTCTCCCGCCTCAGCCTCCCGAGTAACTGGGCTAACAGGTGTATCACTATGCCCAGCTTAAAAGGGACAATCTTGGGCCAGGGATGTAGTTCAGTGGTACAGCGTCTGCCTGGCAAGCTCAAGGCCCTGAGTTCAATTTCTGATACAAAAAAAAGAGACAATCTTCATGAAGATAAAGTAGCCTCAGGAATTAGTGCCCTTTAAAAATCGTAACTTGCAGTAGAGAAAGCAGTAATATTAATAATATTTACATGTGTATCTTTTCTAATGCAATGTAGCTTTAAAATTACCTTAGAGGAGTAAGGATAACTCAGTGGTAGAAGATACATCCAGCCTGTATGAAGCCCCTGGGTCTATCCTAGCCAGAGGGAAAATATCACCTCTCCTAAGTAATTTGAGCCAGGTGTGGTAGCACATGCCTATAACCCCAACTCTCCAGGAGGCTGAAGCAGGAGGACAATCAAGTTCTAGCCCAAGCTAGGAAACCTAATGACTTAGGTTGTTTCAAAACCAACAAAACCAACAAAACCAAACCAACAACAACAAAAAACCACACAGGGACAATATTCACTGACCTAATATATTTTTTTTCCTTAGTTACAGCAGTCATTAAATAATTGAGATTTAAAAAATTTGGCACTTGCCTAGCATGTACAAGGCCCTGGTCTCAATCGCCAGCACCACAAGGAGAAAACAATTCAGGGCCAGGAGGTAGCTCAACAGCAGAGCACTCACTTCATAATATTCCCAGGCCCCAGGGCAACAGTGGCAAACCTACAGCATGCATGCTGCAGAGGGCAGAGTCCTGTTGGCACACAAGCCAAGTCACCCCAATAGCCGAGCACTGGATGACTTTTTTCAAGTAAAACGTCAGTATTCAGGTTTAATTGCAGCGTTGGCACTTTGTGATAAATGGGTGTGGGATCACAGTTTGGGCATTTGGTCTCTAAAAGGCTCACCATCACAGCTCTGGGGTGAATCCTCAGCACCAAACAGATAAATAATAAAGCTCATTAAGGACTACCGAAGATTTTATTTTTGCATTCTTTATAAATAAGAAGCAATCAATAACCATTTCCCTCTTCACGATCTAACTTCAATGACACTTTAAAAGATGTCAAGTTTAGTTTAAAATAAATGTACAGTTTATAATTGCTGAGTTGTTTATTATCCAGTTAATTATTAAAAGTCAAAAAGTTATGAACCAACACGTCTTTGAAAGCTTCTGACATTTATTTCTGGACAAATAAGTAACTGGGAAGAATCAATAAGTATATGCCTATGTTTACTCTATCCTTAAAACTGCCTAAGAGTTCTTATAACACAGAAAAAAATCTAAATGCATTTGTAACGGCATAACAATTTGTGTGTTCCATTAGTATCTTTCACTGGAATGTTTTGAAACCAAAGCAAAATTCACCTCAAAAATATATCAGAAAAAGAAAACAAACTTTTGAATGGCATATGATAACGACCTGGAAAAAAATGATTAACAACTAGTAAGTAATATTAGCAACAGACTGAGAAATTAAACATTGTCCCATACACTTTTAAGTACTGTGTCAGACATGAGCCATCTTTAATCATATTCATTTCCCCATATGTATTATTTAAAAGAAACAATTTTCTCTTCTCCAGATTCTCATGTTTATCAGTGTAAAGTAAAAGTAAAACAAAGCTATGTCAGTAGAAACTATTTATTACAATGCTACTTTAGAAAGGCTTATTCCTCAAAATGTCCAAAATGTACTTAAAAGATGTCCAAATCATGAGAATGATCCACCTCAATAGCTTCCTCCACATCCAACTTGGTTTCTCCATGTCCTTCTTGTGGTTCATCAAGAGAGGCCAGGGCCTCATTTGTATCACTTGCAAAAGTTTCCCGTGATGTATCATCGTCTTCTTGAAAATTCAGACTTTTAATGGCTTGTTTCATCTTTTTTCCCAGTATCTGTGTTCTCCTCTTCCTAGCAGCTTTTTTATTTTCATATTCCTTTTGATTTTCAATGTAGAAAATGTCCTGTAATAAAAAAGAATAACTTTAGTAAAAAAGAGCTACCATAAAGTTTGTTATTAGGCAGGCCCTTTACAATTATTATCTCTGTATTTGGCTTACCATTAGACTCAAGAGTCTAAGATATTAAGTAAGTACCTACTGTAAGTAAAGACCAAAGCTACAATTCAAACCTAACCTAGCGTAAGTTTATGGTCCATGCTTAACACATCATCTCTATAGTTAAAAGCTTTCTAAAGGAGGACTGGGGATTTAGCTCAGTGGTTCCACCGCCTGCCTCGCAAGCGCAAAGTCTCAAGTTAGATTCCTGGTACCAAAGAAAAAAAAAGCTTTCTAAAGGAAAAGATACAATAGGATAATCACTTATTAAGGGTTTAAAATAAAAGAAGTTTTTGGAATAAAGATTTACCAACTGTGAAATGTCATCATAAATACACTTGATTGTGCATGCTAAGAAACCAAGCCATGTCTGAACTGTGTGAATAAGCAATCATGTCAGTACACAATGCAAGAAAAATTCTAGCTGTTACTGAAATTAACATGAGAGTGTAAATCTTGGTCAAAAATTTCTATCATGGGCATAGTAGTAATACATTCAGCAGTAGGATATATTCAAAGATGCCAAAAAGGGATTTTATAGCATGAAAACAGGAAATTCTTTCAGTAGAAGATAATTCTTTGCTGGGGTGTCTTTTGTGCACATTGTGAGATATCTGGCAGCATATAGGGCATCTTATCCTCTACTTGCTTAAGAAGGACATATCTACCCTACCCCCAAATTGTGACAACCAAAAATATTTTCAGATATTGCCAAGTATCTCAGAGGGGCCACAGTAGATGAGACCTATGGTAGTAGAAAATATATTTCCATTATAATATCAACATGGAAAAAACAAACATGGAAAAGCATAAAATAACACATGGGAACCTTGGTACAAATAGGTAAGTGGAGTTAAAAGTACAAAAGAAAGGCAAGTATGTCAGGGATTTAAAGAGAGGACCAGACTGTCTACAGTAAGACAGAGATGGTTCAAAGTTTCAAAAAAGAAGCTGGTATGGTTAGAACACATTTCTGAACTGTTACTTTCTGGAAAGGGACTCCTAAAAGCTGTAACCAAGCCAGTCCCTATCATATTTTCTGAAGTACACAAAGTACAAATCTCTTGTTTATAAAAATCACTATGGTACTTGCTTCAGCAGCACACACATAGTACTAAAACTGGAATGATACACAAGACATTTGCATGGACCCTGAACAAGAATGACAAACAAACTCCTGAAGCATTCCATACAGTAGTATTTAAGAAGGGAAAGGGACCAAGAGATGGAAGGAGGGAAGGGAAAAAGAGATGAAAAAGGAATTAAGGTGCTTTGTCCATGCACCAATTCCACACAAGGAATGTAAACATCATGTACTGCAAACATGCACTACTAAAATTTAAAAACTCAAAAGCACTATGGCAGATGGTGAGATAAAGGAGATTGCTCCTCCTCTGTGTACTAAGTAGTTACATGCAGGGCATGGAATTAGCAGAGTTGGGAGTAGGGAAAGCTCCAGAATGAGTGTTTTGATAAGGGAAAGTAAAAGTACCTGCTAAAGAAATGAGAGAGGACTGGGGGTAGAGAAGGAGGGTGCATATGGGAGAAAAGGCACAGGAAGAAGAAAGGTGACTGCAGGGACAGTAAAGCCAGCTGCCTTGTATCAAGTGAGCACTTCTAATGCCAGGCACTATGCTAAGTAGGAACTTTTCACACACAGTAATTTCATGCTCAAAACATCTTATGAGGTAGGTAGAGTATATCCATCATCTTTGATTCAGATTGAAAAAGTGAGGCAGAAGATTACAGAGCTAACGTATTGAAGGTATAAAGTCTGACTTTATTTCTCCAAATCCACATTCTTAAAGCATATTATACTGCCTTCACAGAATTGTGATAATTCATCACTTTTTCAAGAGTATGTCTTCAGGTGAAAAGACAAAAGAAGCTGCAAATACAAATAGAGTATTTTCATTTTATGTGGAAACATCTAAGCATCTTGATAAAAAACAATTCTAGGCAGTACAATGCCTGGAAACACAGTAAATTTTATAGTTTCTCTTTCTCTCCAAAGATAGCAAGCCTAATTACCAAGGAACATCATTCCCATAGGTTATGAATTTAACAGAACAAAGTAGAGAATGAATGGCCTAAAGAAATATGGTTAAAACTGTGTTGATACTGTTGTAACAAATGAAGTAGATGATTTTTCTCTCATACATCTCTCTATATAATTAATAAGTTAAGAACTTGAATATAAATTGTTTTATAGAGAGAGACTGTTATAGCTAGCCTTTTAGAAAATATTGCATTTAATAAAGCCAGGCATGGTGGCACACACCTGTAATCCCAGATACTCTGGAGGCTGAGGCAGGATTCCAAGTTCCAGGCCAGCTTGAGATATATAGGGAGATCCTGTCTCAAAAAACGAACAATAATTTTTGTTTGCTTCTTCTGGAAACAGGGTCTCATTTTGTAGTTCAGGCTGCCCTATGTGTGGCTTTTTTTTTTGGTACTGGGGATCAAACTCAGAACCTTGAGCATGCAGGTGGTGGAACCACTAAGCTAAATCCGCAGCCCTATTTTTGCTAAACTTTTTTTTTGGTACCAGGGATTGAACTTGGGACCTTGTGCTTTTGAGGCAGGCAGTGGAACCACTGAGCTAAATCCCTGGCCCTTGAACTCACTGTGTAGCCCAGGCTGGCCTCCAACTCATGGCAATCCTCGTGTCTCAGCCTCCCAAGTGCTGGGATTACAGGTGTGTGCCACCATGCCTGGCAATAATAAATAAATTTTTAAAAATGAAATGAAATGAAATGGGCTTGAGATGTAGATCAGTGGTAGAGCATTCTTGGGTTCAATCTCCAGCACCACCTAGCATGCATGAAGCCTAGGTGATTGAACAAGACAAAAACACAAATGAAAAAAAATCCAAGCCAAACCAAACACAGCCAGTCCAGTTACAGTTTACAAGTTGTAGTCTGTGATTAACAATATGGCAAAAGAATAATTATAACATCATCATATGAATGGGATATGCTGTATTACCTATAATAAAATTTTACTTTTCTTCAGGTTATTTCCTCTAATAAAAGTATTCAATCTAAACCCATGTAAAAAATTCAGAAAAACACAGGTTAATATGTTCCCATGAGCCTAAACCACCAGTGGTGCATGCGTGACTGTCCACTGGGTGGCTTGTACCACAGGCGGTACAAATCAGATTTAATCATCTCTATTGGTCTTTCCCCCCCACCCCATTAAGTTTATTGGTACATTTTAGGTATACAATACAGTTACAGTCATCATTGGGATCTTGTACCATTATATGAGTCTCTTGGTTCTTATTTTTTTCCCCTTCCCCTGCACTCCCTTCATCCCCTCCACCCTTCCCTATTTGCAAAGACTTTGTTTCCATTTTTTTCCTTTTCTCATATTTTTTTTTCCCTTCTTTCCT